CTATTTTTACAGGAAACATAGTAAAGGTTTATCTCCACCATGCAGATTGGAACATGCATGTTGGGCAAAGCTTAGGGAAAAAATACGTCCCCCTGCTCCATTTTTTGACAGTGACAAATGTCAGTTATTCCTAAATATTGTGCATATATATCTTTCTGAATAATTCTTCTCCATAAAATCAGTCAGTCATAACGCAGTGCTATATAATACTAGGAAACCTGAGGTAAAAATGAAAGAAAAAGTGTCTTCTCATTTGACATAGGTTCATAGTAAAGCCTGACAAAGCTATTAAAGATGAAAAAAAGAGAAAGAAAAGATAAAAAACTAAGAAAAGCATCACTCTGTGTTAAATGGAAGCATCATATGCATCTTGAATGGCCTCTGGAGTGACCAGTGTAATCTCAATGTCTACATCCTTATGGAAATAGAAATGTAATTCCAAATGGATCCATAGCATCCCGAATGGATTCAGTGAAACGAATGAATGAACGATTATTTGTTTTCATTCGACCAAATTGAATAATTTACCTCCAACAGGCTCGGCCATGGAACAGTTTAAGATTGGAGGAATGAAAAAAACATAGTCATTTGACGTTGCGGAGTATTGGGAGAAGATACCCAAACAAAATATTTCTGTTATGTATTCGGTTATATATCATCTTCTTTTCTACAGTTTTTATTGTTTAAAGTCTCTTGAGAAAATCCTGAAAGTATGAATAATACCCTTAACCCTGAATGAAAACTATGGAAGGAGCAATGAACCTTTTAAAACAGTTACTGTCACCGGCTTTATGTTGGGGTCCTCATAAATGTCTAAGACTTTTGGGACTTGTTTGAAAGCAAATAGCAGGCTAAAAAAGTGGATAGCAGCTTCCTGTTGATGGCTCTAATCATTGCTTTGGTCCGTAGACTTGAAACAGGGTCTTGCTTTTCATTTCTCTTACTCGGTGAGCTTTGATTTCCTCAGTATTCTCTGACGTGCACGCACAGGGGCAGGCAGCTGAACGTGGGTCTGAATGGAGAACTGAGGGCTCTAAAGGAAAAGGAGAAGAACCTGGACGAGCTGATAGAGAGCTGCACCGGGCAGATCCAGAACCTGTGCGAGGACAGTTACTGTTGGAGATATCCTTTTGCCTGGAAGCTCAAACCTGGAACCCCTTTAATCACAAAAGCTAAAGTTTTCTTAACTCATTGACTGCCAAAGACGTCTATAGGCGTCTTTTATGTTTTTCAACGAGAGTGGCTGGGGGACGATCTGCTAAAGCTTGTCCGTAAATATCAGGCTTCTAGACAGAGTATGTAGTAACAAATTGACCCTCTAGGGGGCAGTGCCACTTTTGATGGGAGATGAGCATAGACTGTAGGCAAATAAGAAAAAGGTAACGGTTCAATGAGAGAACATGTCGCCGGTGAGACGCAAGTCCAGGAAGAACGGAATAAGGTAGAAACAAAAAATTTTTTCCTGATGAAAGAAGAGAGTCTCCTCTTTCTTTTGGTGTGTTCGGTGTTTACATAGTCATAGCACAAACTATTCTGTGGCTCTTGAAAAATCAGTCAAAATGCTAAAAAAAACTCTGGCAGTATGGGACTCTGTTCTGAAAATGGCTGGCAGTCAATGAGTTAAAGAGCAGGTTTTTTTTACGTTTTCCCGGCTGATCAGCTAATCCTCTGACCGTTATTTGTGGACTTCCTTGACCTCCCGGATCACGTACGCCTACTTGACCCACGAGGATCTGAGCAGGTTTCCCAGCTGGAGGGGTCAGACCGTGATGGTGATCAAAGCTCCGGCGGAGACCAAGCTCCAGGTGCCGCATCCAGAGGAGGTACGTCTCCCCTCAAGATGTCCTAATCCAGCTTTTTTCCCTTCCAATCCGATCCGATCCCGGCCTATCAGAGCATGTGTTAAAGTCTAAAGTTATTCATCTACTTACTTAGTTGTCAGACTCATGTTGAACAGGGATTTACTTTGATAGCAACTTAATGGTTAGGACACAGACCTGTGGGTTAGGACAGTGTTTCCCAACCCTGGTCCTCATGTTTTCCAAGTTTCCCTGCTCCAGCACACCTGATTCTAATGAATGGGACTTTAGCAGCTTTCTGCATAGCTGAAAAGTCGTTCCATTAATGTTTATGTTTCTGCATTTGTCAGACGCTTTTATCCAAAGTGACTTCCAGAGTAGACACAATATTCCATTTATCATCATTATGACAATAAGCTATCCAGAGGAGAAACACTGATCAGAGTCAGTGGTGAGATAGAGATAGAGGTAGAGGGACTACAGAAGGAGCTGTG